AACCAAAATCATTTGGTGTCCAGAACACCAGAAGCCCCATTTTCCACTGCCGAGCATCAATTTTTGACAACTTGTAGGAGAGACTGAGAGTGCTTCCCACAACTGTCCTTTACTATTTGATAGGACAATTATGCCCTTAGAAGATGAAAACCATCCACCTATCTCTTCTAAATGCAAATGCACAAAGCAGGTCAATCATTGAAAAAGATTTAGCTTAGATAACATACGTGAGCTTGACATTTCTCCACCATACAGTGTTCCTGAAACGCCGAGCCTGCTTTCTGAAGCGAAAAGTATTTCCTTGCATATTGGCAGTTTTGTCAACCAGCAACTCCAAACGATCACCTCTGTCTAGAACTTTATCAATATTCTCTATCATGACATTGCGTACCTGTTAAATGAAATAATCACATGCAAACTTTTGTATTATATAGAATAAACCCAAGAGAATATCAACTGCAAATTTGTGCAGTAATATGGACAGATACAATAGAAGCATGAAGAATTTTTGACATGCTGCAACTCAATGACACTAATTCATAGGGGATTAACACTTCATGTTTTTATCTAAGCTAAAAGATTCTCATCCTAAAATAATCAGAGTCAAATTAACCACCATAAATGATCAAACACAAGCATTCACTAAGTAAAACCATCAGGACAACACGAGAGAGGTCAAAGGATTTTGTAGAGAGCTATAATGGACAGAAAAAGCAGAGGAACAAGACTTCAAAAAAATCCAAAGTGACACTCATTATAAGCAGTTCCTAATTGATATAAACACTTAATACGCACCTGACTCATTTCACCTTTTAATCTGTTAATCCTATCTGCATTTGGATCATTTGAGTAATACTCGATCTGTTGGCTCAGAACCCTTGAAAATTCATCATTCATGGCATATGCCTGGGCTGATAGAACTGCCCGACCATAAGTCCTCACAAATCTCTGATGAATGTCTTCAAGAAATGCAAAAGGAATTCTTCCTGCAAAAAGGACCATAATACTTGATATGTTCTTTCACTACAAGGTTGATATATAGGCATTTCCAATTGAATATTTCTTAAGGTATCAAAGTTAACCTTTTTTTTTTTTTAATGAAGGATGGTACCTTGGTTACATTGTCCAAAACAATAAAATCACCATAGGAAAACAAGTAGAACTGAATCACTAAGCATCAAACTCGAATACATGGCATACGAAACTTATCCATACTCAACAAACTTTTTAGGGAACTACGCAGTGATCATATCCACATAACACTCTGTGATGACCACACTATCATGACGTGCTAAGAAATCTGTCGATTATTTCCTTCTCGATAATGATGCATACATTTGATATCAGAGTTAACATACGACCAATACCACTATTTATCTTAAATCACTCTCTCAAACTTCCTAGAAATCATAGGTCCATGAGAGTACCTATCATCAAACCATAGTTTGGTCTTATTTCCATCACCTATGATATCCATACTAAAAGGTATGACATTCTCCTTAAGCTTTAGAATTTTCAACCAACTCCAAGAACATGTGTTTGTAATTTTAACTTCCCATAAACTCTTACCTTTTTCAAATAGTAAGCCTTTATCCATTGAGTTCATATACTACTATCAACAATAAACAGGTTCCAAATATGTTTTATAATGAAAACTTTCTTCTACACAGTAATTTTCTTGATTCAAAGTCCTCCCTCCTTCCTTGGTTTCATATCTTCTTTCGAATCTATATTAACAGACCACATAAAGATTTTGATAACTTGTTCAACTTTTTTTAACCTTAGGATACATTCTCGAGAAGCTAATCCTACTGTTAGGGAGTAACTACCCCTTATGGTTGCGCACCTCTTTCAAAACAAGAAAGGACGATCGACTTATATGCTTTAAACCATCAAATTTTGGAAGAATTAGGTGGCGACCCCAATAAGTCTGCATGCTACTTACAACTGATTTTATAAGTTGTAATCTCCCTGCATACAACAAACTAATATTCACTCAAGACTTGACTTTTACCTCAGTTTTTTTGATCAAAAGTTCAAAATCATTTGCCTTCATATTAGGTATTCCTAAATACCTAACAGGCCTACACGCTTTTCTTAAAATATTGAATATTTTGGTTTGGACTGAATTTGTTTTCGGGTTAACCCACTCAAAAAGGGAGCTGATCCAGCGAAACTTCACCACTTGACAATTGGCTTTCCTCCCAAAGGAACTTAGCCTCTATGAAGGAAAATGGGTGCACGAAAAAGAGGAGAGAAAGTGGTGTTTTCCTTTGTTTGGTTGAAAAAGGAAAAGGAAAAATGGAAAGGAAAGAAAAGGGAAGGGAAAGTGCATCCCCTCCCTCCGTCCACCAAATCTAATCCGTCCGATTTCAGGTGAAAAATTGGAGAGAGAAAGTGAACCAATCATTACAACTGATAAATTTATTCTTTTGCACTCCTAGTGGCTGCTTGTTGGTCATGGTT